TGGGCACACCAGAGATCAGTCTCGAGAGACTGATTCCCTTAGTAGATTATTTAGCAGCGTGGAAGCTACTGCCAAATTTGTCTCAATGGGTCCTGCGTACTGTAGAAAGAGGCTACAGAATCCAGTTCGGTTCTCGTCCGCCTCGATTCAACGGGACCCCCCACTCTAGTGGGTCCCGAGCAGGGTCTGGTATTAGAATAAGAAGTAGTTACTCTCTTCGAGAAGGAGGCCATCGAGGTGGTCCCTCCGCACGAGACAGAGTTCTTCCTTAGGCCTTGCACTCTCACCACAACTTATATGGTGTGCTGGTCAATACATGATCTTATCTGCTCATGGTTACCACTTGTGGCAGTCATTTTCTAAAACCAGAAGCCCTGTTTTCTTACATTTACAGAGGTTATGTGGCATCCTTCTAGAACTGTCAGAATTTCCAATATTGAAGACTTGGAGTGGCACTGGTATCATTAGCTAAAATTAAAAATCAAACTAAGCAATACATTTTCAAAATGTTTTTTATTTTATATTAATTAAAATAAAAAACATAAAAACTTATTTTGTGATTTATTTTATTATTGTTCTTATTAAATGTTAATTTTAATTTAATTTGTAAGAACTAAATTATATTCATTAAAAATTGCATAACACTGAATTGTATTCAAAACTTACTACCACAAATGTTATGTCCACATCCCACCACCAGAGGTCAATATAGGGGTTTTGTGCAACAGACTTCCGTATTCTGTTAACCGGGTCTCTTCGTTTCCGGTTCAAGCGTTTTGCATATGCTTAGTTAAATATGAAGCAGTTTTTGAGGCCGGGTCCTTTTTGTTCTGTAACATCACGGGTGTAACAAGGTGAAAAATCTCCCCCAGAAAAGTATGAAAATGATAAAAAAAAATTTTAGAAGTAGTTATACCCTTTGTGAACAAAGACACAATTTCAGTCCAATGCGATAACATTAACTAGTACTTTCGGGAAAAAGAAAATTTTCTCAGAGCAAAAAGGACCCGAACACCACATGAGGGTTAAATGGCTGTCAGTGTATAGATAATCACTTCTGAACGCAAAAGGTGGACTTAACATTTACAGTGAATCTCCCTTCTGAGACTAGCAGCAGATTATGCGTAAACAACTCATCATTGCAGAAAAACAAAGATAAGTGTGAGAAAGATCAAAGATGGTCAGATGGATATTTTTGGCACTTGACAGAAAATAACTCACACTCTCTGTGCTCATTACCTGATAAATCTACACAGAAGTGACCGCCTGAGAAAATGTAACCTTGCAGTGACTTGCTTGCTACACTGTTAAATCAAGGCTCTGGATATATAAATCTACCCTGTACCCAGTACAAAGCCCTTGTTATAGAGGCCCAAAGGGATCGATGAAAGTAGTACAACATGCTAAGGCACTATGCTATAGGGTAAACTAATGACATTCTCTAAAACTATAGAACCCAATAACTCTGCAGGTCCTGACTTAAAAAACAAACAAAAAGCCAAAAGCACTTAGTTTTATTAAGTATGCTCTACAGTGCATTAAATGTATATTTAAAAAAATTTTTTTTTACAAAAATATTATTGTGTCTCTACTTAATGCAGAAAGGTTTGTATAGACTGCTTAAAAAAAATGTAATTTTAATTGTATTAATGTAGTCCTTATTGTGTCTTGCAGGATTTGGATAGAGGGGACTTTCTGCTGACTTGCACACTGATCAGCACAGGAAATCTTCAACCCTTCAGGTTACTGCCAACATCTCTAACCGCTATGTAACCGCCTCTAAACCCAGTGGGTGATAAACATTGCAAGGTAAAACAGGAACCACATCAATAGCTAGTCCTCTCAAAAACAATCTGCAAAAAAAAAGTACAACGGGTGTACACAAGCAAACAGATGTCTTGAGTAAAATATATCCTAAAAAATATTTTAAAGGAATCTTAAACTGAAAAAATCAAATTGATAATATGTAATTACATATGCAACGATGTGTTAGTACACAATTGAGACACTGGAGTTCACTTTGAAATTTTTGAAGATGCGATTGCATCTACCGTTGTTTCGTGGACGAAATCCAGTCATTTTGAAAGCAGTCTACAAGACGTGCAATTACACTTAGGCAAAACATTTCAAAGTATATATGCTGCTGTCCTTTTTTAGTGTACTTTATGAATATCTGTAATGTACACAACAATATATAATACATTAAAGTTTCCTCATCCGCCCTGGAGCCCTCCCGTGTCTCCGTCCTCTACCAGCCTCCAGGGTGCCCACCCCCCCTCCCCGGTGGAATTGTTACGGCGCGGAACGCGCCTTTCGGGAGGGGGGAGTACTGTCACAGATCGACCAGACTCAGTCACCTCCCAATCACCGCAACCACCTTCACCTGAGTACTGAGCACCTGCACCTGTCACCAATCAAGCACCTCATCAACCAGCCTGGATAAAAGCACACACCTCAGACACCCTCACTGTCCGGTCTCGTACACACGTAGAGGACTCTCTGACTTTACTACTGCTTCCATTTGAATACTTCCTGCATTATTTACCTCCTGTGTTCCTCCAAGTGTCTCCTGTTCCTCCTAGTTCCTGGCTCGCTGAGGTATTCGGTTATTTTCACACTTAATTATGCCCATTAACATGTATTTTACAAGTTTTTGTTACTTTCACTGTTAATTTCTCTCTCTCTATGGTAGCCTACATCATCTTTAGTTTAATAGCATTAGATCTGCTCCATTGCAGCGGCTCAGTACTGTAATCACGCGCTTTGCTGTAATAATGCAGGGAACCACTCGCTATAAATCTCCTAACTGTGATATTTTCAGAAATAGAAGTCGCGTTTTTT